TGCCGACACCACTCTGTCTTGATTTTTTCTCGAGGGATATTCCTGTAGAGATACGGAGCGCTGTAGATTGTATAAAGGATTTTTGTCCTACGATCGTGGAATTTGAATAATGTGTTATACAAAAACTGGTTAAAACTTGACCTTGACATCAAATTTATGACACTTTATACTAAATGAAAGTAGCAAAGCAATATCGATGGGCATTGAACTGAAAAATAATTGGTAAACAGTACATGTTTTTAACGGAAACCTAAAGCATTGGTCGGTTTTTAGGTTTGTTTCGCACAGGAAAAGTGACAAAATTGACTACATCATGTGGATCATCGAGATCACTCGGTATAAGCTTATATATTCTTGAGCATTTGAGAGGTGTAGTCTAAATCTAAAACAATTGGAAAATACTAGCAAAACAGAACATTAACATTTCCTTTGAAATGATACGTAGTGTTCTCGATGCAATAATCAATTTTCCCTTAATAAATTATTAAGGGGGTTTCGTTTTCAAGTTTTAATAGAATGTGTAATCATACCAGTATACCTATTCATTCAATTGGGCTACCGACAGTTTCACTTACTTTCCCCACATGCTTCTTTCTGTAACAATAATTTTATTAAATTCTATCTACATATATTAGCGTTAATTATATTACATCTTATTCAAATACACTTTCCTTTTCAATAAAATGTACTCATCGTAGGTAATTAATGCTATGTTCCGATGATCTAGCGCCATCTAGATAATTAAAAGCCGCATGGCCGTGAATTTTAGATGAGTGAACATAAATCAAGGCGCCACCCGCAGTGTAGATGTAGTTTTTTTTAATTTATGGGCATCTTTATAAAGAACTATTGTTGTTAGTTACAATTACGCATATGTTTATAGCCTTACATATATTTTTCTTGGTACCGTCAGCGGTTTTAAAGGCCATAAGGTTCGAGAACCTCCAAATTTATTTATTTACTTTTGGCCTTTATTAGTAAGTGAGCGAGGTTTCAACTGCTCTAACAACCCAACCCAAACTTTACAAATATCAATGCCCGAACCCGGATTCGAACAAGAGACCCTTGCTACCGCAGTCCAGCTTCATCTTCACTGCGCCACACGGGCAAATTCGATATTGCCTTATTGAACAGATCCTTATTTTTGAGACGCCAGATTCAATTTAGAACAATTATTAATTGATTGAGGAACGTGAGAAAAGGAAGAAATCTCGCCGTATTACAATCGACAAAATAAAAACTTGAACTTAGCATAAGTAATATTTGTTTGGTTGATTGTGCCTGAGACTTTGACTCTTTTCTTTTTCTTCCCCATAATTCAAAGGAAAATTTGCAAAAAATGCTCTTGTTACATAAGATAACACTTATCTAGTCGATTTCAAGTAAAGCCGACTAACGTCATTACTGTAGCTACAAAATTAGTCATTTAGCAAATATACTGCATTTTGTCCAGGATTGCAAGGCCAAATCAAAACAAAACTGAGCTTCGGGCTGTACTTTTTAATAAAATTTCTTTCAATTTTTCAACATAAGGTAAAATCTGTAAATTTCCCTTACCTTTTTAGGTCTGTGACGGTGTAATCGTTGGAAAGGCCTTCATCCTTTTTCTTAGAAGCATGATTTTCTTTTAGATTTGATCGTAAGGAGGCATTACAAGGCTTTAGCGCATGGTTGCTTTAGTGTAGATTTATCGTAATTTTTAAACATGTACCTTAAACATTGCGATGGTTAAAAACATAAAGGCCGGTCCAGACGCGAAGTTTTGCACAACGTTTTGTCCTGCGCAGTCTTAAGACGGAATGAAAACGTGATCATTCGGGCATCTCTACAAGGACCAGTCGCCAAAGATTAATGACATGTGGGTGGCGGCAATTAAAATTCTATGCGTAAGAAAGTTGGCATTGCGCAGTCTGCACATGCGCACATCTGGTTTTTACTATATGCGATATGTTTGCCTTTACTACTTTCTGTGGTTAAAATTAAAGCAAAATTTACTAATACATAAAAAAGTTCATATTGCGCATTAATCGTCAGATTTATGTTGGTTCAGGTACCAGAGTTATAAGCTACCGAAATCAAAAAGAACCAGTTAAATATACTGAAAATTGTAGTAGTTAAGGGCTCGGATGGACGGACATACGGAGAAAGTGGCTGCAATTGCGCACCCAATTTCGTTCGCAAATGAGCTAAAAACGAATCCAAAATGGGAAAGCAAAATACTTTACATAAAGCGATGAAGTTAAGGCTTGGAACAATTCCAACAGCACTGGGTGGATTTAAAATGTATTTTTCTCGGGGAATTAGGGCATTCAAGTCTATTTTAGGGCATTTTCCAACTCAAGTTGTTATTAGGCGCTGTTATGGCCACTTTATCTGTCTGTCCGAGGCCTCAACTACTCCTATAGCTTTCAATACATTTAGTTCTTTATTTTGGAATTCGGTAGTATATAACTCTGGCACTTGAGCAAAAAAAAATGTAATGATGAATGTGCGCAAAATCATTTTTTTATATTTATTAATATATTTTGTTGAAATTTTAACCACAGATGTTTCTAATAAACGCACACAAATCGCACATACTAAAAAACGGATGTGTGCATGAGCAAACTGCGCAATGCCAAGTTTATAGATATTTCGTTTTGAAATTGTAATCCCAAATGGCTTCTATTAAAGAAAGACATAACGAATATAAGAAAAATCAAACTTCCTTACTTATACAGGGTGTTACATATTAGTATGTAAAAAAATTTGGGAGAAGACCGGATCAAAAGAAGCACTTGTTCCATATAAACTGGGGGTCCAACGTGTTTCGTTTGGGAGCCTCCTAAAAAAAGTAGCGAAATTTTCAATTCTTCTTTAATTTCTTTTCTCAGCAACCATAAGAGTTACAAAGACGTGTCTTTGAATAAGTTTTGGGTATGCCCTTTTCGATTTTTCAACATTCCTACCACAAAAAGGCACCTAAATGACAGTGCGAAAACAAATCCTGATTTCGACGAGATTTTGTATCTGGGGGTGGTTCTTGAACATGAAAATCAGGAATCTGAAACTATTTTTCGAAAATTCGAAAAAAAATTCTACCGCAATTCATGGCCGAACAACTGACTAAAATGGAGAGAATAGGTACTTGCAATAATGCATATTTATTGTTATGGACCTCTACTTAACATTTTCAAAGAACTCACTACCCGCCGCCATGCAAAATCTACATCCTCTGATGGGAATCCACATATCGATTTTTTGAATATCATTTACCGATCAAATTAATTCCAAGTATCATAATATGGACTTAAATCGGTAATTCTTTGTTATTTCCGACATTTGTCAAATTAGACGACTCACTATCATACTTTCTTACCCGAAAGACCAATTTTCAAATGAATAGGTATAATTTTTGTTTGACAGGTGGTTTTAAAAAACAGTTTTGTTCCTATGTACACAACAAATTTCGTCGAATAATTGCAGTGGAATTTTTTTGCGACTGTTCGATAAATAATTTCAGATTTGTGATTTTCATGTTCAAAAACTCCCAGATACCAAAATTCGTTGAAATCAGATTTTTTTCGCACGCTCATTTAGGGGTGCGCACTTTCGTAGTAGGAATTTTGAGATTTTTTTTTTAAATTGGGAATCGCATACCCCAAAACTTATTCAAAGACGTGCCAGTCTTTGTAACTCTAGTTGCTGAAAAAATTAAATTTAATACCGCCCAATTATTTTTGTACATACTTAGCTATAACACTCGGTATACATCAGACAAAGTTTTTTATGAAATATTGAGTCGGTGAATTTCAGATAATATGTGAAAATGACTGTCGGTGAAATAGTGAATTGCCATCGGCAATTATAATCGGTAGATGAAATCGGTAACATTTGTATTTTTGAACTGTTTTATTAACATAACGCTTAATTGAAAGTTCTTCGAAACTTTGTATAGTAAATTAGCCACAACGGTTTATGGTAGGAAGTTGAAGAAAATACCCAGTAATCTGGTATTGTAGTGCTTTCCTAAATTATATGTTCGTGAATCTATGATAATTTAACTTTTACTAATAAAAAAGTAGTGCTGTTAAACAACAATTCTTAACCCAGTCCGTCGCTAAACAAGTTGTTGTTTCTATAACAATTTGCGATAAAATAAAGTACGTTTAATGTGGTGGCACGAACTTTCCATTTCTTCCACAGGACATATTTTCTTTTTATGTGCAGAATCTTACATATAGGTTGTTTACTTCCTTTATATCTTTGTTTTATATATCGACTAAAGCTTCAACCCTCTTGGTTACATTACTGCGTGCTCTTTATAGGTAAGCAAAGATTACGCATTTGCACCAGTTTTAAGGAAAATATTTGATTTAAATTTGATACCATTTACCTTCTGAAGGTATAAAAGCTTCTTTTATAAGAATGTTGCATTACTTTTACTATTGAAGGGGATTTTCTTTCATTACAAATTCTTCTAATTTATTTACAAAAATACCTACAACTGAGGTGATCTGTAGGGAATTACAATAAGGGCTCCGTGTTCGTTTCCATTAGTCGTCCTTGATTGAGTATCGTGATCGTAAGAAAATGAAACGTGCTATGAGTTTTTACTTTTTAGTGAAAGTAGAGAGCATTATAAACGGAATAAACATAATTTCTTTGTTGCTCTAGTGTTTTACCAAGGTTTAAATCATAATGTAATTTCTTTATGAAAGTAATCACGTTTGTGTATTCAAGCGTAAAGATGCATTAATAATGGTTCTCTGGTACAACAAATAAAAGTAAAATTTGTTTCTAAATGATCTAGAAACCTGTACTCTAACATACTCATTGCATATGTCTACATAAAATCTTTCTCATTATCGGAATTAAGCCTCTAATTTACATGTCTTATTATAGGGAGACTAATGTCAAGCACCTGCATATAATCTGTATGTAGGTTGTCTATGGAGAGGAGGCCTAGTTATTGAATTGTTACGCCCGACCACTTTCATTACTATCCACTATCACTCTCTCCTGCCCTGTTGTGGTGTACTTACTCTAACGCGGCTGACTATGTTATTGCTATGGACAACCAGCTGCACGTGATGCTGCTACTGCTTACTGCAATGTGTGGGTCAATGTCAACGGTGCAAGGTAAACGATTACAAATTCTGATCGTTGGTGTTTACGGAAGTATACGGTGTTTGTTTTTTTGATATTAGAGTGCGGCACCAGTGTACGTCGTTCTCGTCAACCTCGTGTGGGTTCTTTAGGGCGCATAATACGGGGGAAACAAAGTGTACGCGGTGCCTGGCCTTGGCAGGTAAAGTTAATTGAATGAAATTTCCTATGAAATATAATTCTCCAATATTTAAAACAGACACTTAGTAAAATGTACGGAATAGGTGTCCTTGCAACTGCTTCATCCCCAATTTGGATTTCTTGGTCACTGGTGCGGCGGTGTTCTGATATCTTCGGAATGGTTACTAACAGCAGCGCATTGTATCAGCAAGTGAGTGAAATATAGTTGGTTAATAACCTTTACAAACTGTTACAAGTGATAGCGAAAGTTATTTCGTGAATATGAAATCTGTTTTAGCGATTTATTTAATTTGCCTTTACCTGCTTTATGGACAGCAGTTTTAGGCGATTGGGATCAAGACGTTGAAGAATATTCGGAGCAAAGGATTCAAATTGAGAAGATAATTTTACACGAACGATTTCACAATTTCCAGCATGATATCGGTACTAATTGTCGACGATAAATTAACACAAATTGCTTTAATTAATTACTCTTAGCGTTAATGAAACTTTCTCAACCAGTAAAACTAATCGCAGGTAGTAGAATTCGATCAGTTTGCTTGCCATCTAAAAGGATTACTCATAATCAGACTGATTTGTGCATTGCAACTGGTTGGGGAAGGGACTCTGAAGATGGACCTTTGTCATCAAAGCTGTTAGAGTCGCGAGTACCTGTGCACGATAACGCGGTCTGCAGAAAGAAGTACCAGCACGCTGTGAACATCCGTTCAGGTCACTTGTGCGCTGGTCATCTAGACGGATCCAGCGGCACGTGTGTGGTAAGTGATTCAAGTGCCACGGGAGATTTTTTCTTGATCTGTTTTAGGGTGATTCTGGTGGACCCCTTCAATGCGCATCTACCGATGGTAAATGGGTGTTAGTGGGTATAACGTCGTTCGGTTCGGGTTGTGCAAAACCAGGATATCCTGACGTATACACCAGACTTTCCTATTACGTGCCATGGATCAAATCTAAAATTAAAAGAACGTTCCTCAGCAATTAGACTCGTTAAGTTACTAATATCACTATTTATTTGTAACATATTTTTACAAAAAAAGTACAAAACTACTTCTTTAAACAAATTAAGTATTTCTAAATCAGTCTTTCAATAACAAAAATAAAAACTTTAAACGCTATTTTTGTATTAAGATATCAGGATCAAATATTTTAGTTCTTAGTGAAAATACTGGTATTTGACTGTATTTGACGTGAAAAGAATTGTGGTGCGTTTCCGTATTACTAGGATATAAGAAGATTTTGACCGCCGGTCCAAATATTAAAAATATACTAGCCACGGCAAATACGTACACGACAACATCTTGTACAATCGGCAATATGTGATACAAAAGTTTTAGGTAAAGTTGGATTTTAGGAGGCAACTGATCGATAATCAAATCGATCCAAAGCAAAGGCAAGACTAAGTTACTGAACGGTTTGGTTTTTGAATTGTAACTGCTATCGGGCATTGCTAAATTTGCTTGTAACCGTAAATTTGCTTCTAATGGCACCCCTATGTGTGGATGGATGGTCATTGTAGTGTCGTGTTTTGTTTCATTCGGTGACATCCCGCCGATTTCTTCCAATAGAGTGGGATCTGCGTTAAAGAAATGAGGTTGTGATACGACAATTGGGATAGTGTAGTAACATGGAGACAAATCCCCCAATCCTTTCCTAAGACACTTCTGAGAAATACAGTAGCACTCATTTTCCGCATTTTCTTCTCTTGTGGCTAAGAAGTCTCGTTTTACTCTAAACAAGTACCCTTCAAATCCGTCTTGTGTAGTCGTTACGTTTTCGAACGTTATCGGAATTGTCCTACAGAATGCATGCCGGTATAAGTAAAACGTGTCATTTTTGTTAATGTGCCGAGGGAAGAGCGTCCCCATAAATGCACCTTCGACGGCGTTGCAAGTAGATGGTGGTGTTTGACTGTCGCTCCCAGATTCATACCCCCACTGCTTGAATCCCGCGAAACCGTTCCAAGTTTGGATGGAGAACGGACGAGGCATTGATTCTTCCGTTGTCATTGTGTGATTGTCCGACAAGTTATTATGCTGATTCAGATTCATAGTAACTACGTTTGAAGCATTGTCCAATGCCATTATCTACAGCAAATTGCTCTTATTTCTTATCTGTTTTTGTAGTAACCTCACCCTATCTAGTATCCCTAACCGTGAAAAATCAATCCAATTGGGTACAAAATCGTTAGCAAGTGATACTAATGGGTCATCGTAGCCATACAGGAAATCAGTAACTGTGATGTGATTAAATGGTTCCATTCCATAATACGAACTTAACGATGACAATCCAAGTTGGACAAACATCGAATGCTCACTTAATGCGGCTGACATTCCCTGTAAATTAGCGTATTCTTTTAATCGTTACAAATTTTATAATTAAGGGTGCTACCAGTAATGCAAGGTTTGGTAGCAGCAGTTTGTCGACGTCAGGATTTCCTATTGAGTGCTGAGGTTGAAACTCTAAACGCCTTTTTGGAATAAAAGAAATCGTCCCATTATCATTAAAGGTACTGTTGATGTTAAATAAGCTTTCCCTAAAATAAAAGAGTTACACCCCCTAAATCAGAGGTAACATTGTTTTACTTACTTGAACACATACGGACCAACCTCCTGAAATCTTAACTTATCCGTCCCGTCTAAAAACTCTTGGGGGTTGGTAACGTTAAACAAGTATATTCTAAGCAGTAGAACATAGGGCGGGTTCTTCCATAGGTTGAACAAGATTGAGTCGGGATAAAACCCCGTTACCTGCCAATACAAAAATGTCAACCCGTTTAATTATTTCAATATCTTACCTTATCGATTAAAAATTCTAACGGGTTATAAGTGTGTGTTAAGTATGATAAAGTTGCAAGAAATGCCCCAAGGATTGATAACAGGAGGAGTTCTGTAATAGAATAATATATGTACAGTGTTAAGTTTTGTGAAGACATTAACAATTCTAGTTATATTTTATCTGTATGATGCAATGATGGCAAAATTAGTACAAATTATGATCGGTAGTGATATACAGGGTGTTCATTTGAAATCATCCCACCGCGGATTTATCGAAAACCACTGATTAAAGGAACAAAACGCCGAGACACGTCAAAAGATTTGTCAAGGGGGACAAATTTATAATCAAAAACTACTTTACCCCCTTTCACTTTCTGCCCCTCAGGGTCATTCCCTTACAAATTTTAAATGACAAGTGGTATCGAGTAATAGCTTGTTTGAAAGGTCTATCGAAGTCCTTTATTTTGACGTTTGATTTTTTTAAAATCGGTCGATTCATTTAAACAAAAATAGAAAAATCTTTATGTAATTTATTTAATCGACCTATCTTATCTATTATTTAATTGTTGTTATGGGAAAGAAAGAATTTAATTTGCTGTCAGTTACCTTTGGGACAATCCTGGGATAGTGAAAATTAATTTATTGATTGAGATTTTAGTGATATTTTCGTTTATTTCTGTTTTCTACCTGAACAAATTAAGATAGGTCGATTAAATAAATAAAATAAAGATTTTTCTAATTTTCTCGAAAACGAATCGACCAATTTTAAAAAATGACCTCAAAATAGTAGACTTCGAAAGACCTTTCGAATAAGCTATTACTCGATACCATTTGTCATTTAAAATTTTTAAGGAAATGACCATGAAGGGCAAAGGGTGAAAGGGGGTGAAGTAGTTTTTGGTTAAAAAGTTGTCCCCCTTGATAAATCTTTTGGCATGTCTCGGCGGAAATAAATAAATAAATAAATACCTGTATGAAGTGAACATTTATTAATTATTCTAGAATCCAATGCAAGTGATAATGATTGTTTTTCATTTCTTGTTTGGCACGAAATATCCCCACATTTTCGTTAATAGGCCCAACCTATATACTTTATTTTTGAATAGATAGTAGTAGAGGTATTCTAAAGTGCGTTTTTTATCCTGCATTCAACAATAAAAAAAAATACATAGGGTGTGGTATTATAACAATTTTTTTGGGGTATTTCTACCCAAACCAGAAATGAAAAAAGCTGTCATTATAACCAATGAATTCTTTGATTATTACTCTAATTTGAAAAAAATGGTTTAGATATTGTTTCAAGACATTCGTCCGTTCTGGGATTTATAGCGCACACTGTATATCACAGAAACCATTGCGTCTATAATAATCTTAGGGTTGTGGAGGAAAAGATGATTTTAGCAACATTTCTTATTTAAATTTTGGCAAAAATAGATATAGATACGTACAAAGGTTTCGCGGTGTGCAGTGCAATATTTACTAGAACCTTCGGTATGAGTTGAATGCAATTACTTCATCTAAAAACAATTAACTAAATATATGCTAGAATATAATAATGACTACAATTATAAATGTTATTGTTAAGTGTTAAAAGAATCGTAATTGTTTGTTACTATGTTACCTTGAAGAATAATAGGTAGATATTGACAGGTTACAAAAACCGACGAACATTGAAATTTGAACTTTTGACTTTTTTCCAAAGCGGATTTTACCAGTGTTTTGCCCTTGAGGTTTTGATAAAACCGTAGCCGCTTGTTGGTGCAACAATGGGAAACTATTTTAAGTCTACGGAATTTCGCGTATCAGAAGCTGAGAATTAAAAGAAATTGCTTAACAATACTTATTTGAGGATGGCAAAGAAAAAGCGCTACAAACAAACTTACATTTGAAGTGGCAGGTATGCTTATACAAAAAGTCAATCACTTTTTTTGCAAAACTGAAAAAATCTTTTGAAACAGCAAGATGATATGATAAGTGATGGTTATATGACTGCGACTACGAGTTAAGCAAAAAATAGTGCGAATTTCAAATTTAACGTTAATACAAACTGAAGAAAAGTCCGAATATATTCATTGAGCATATTGAGTTCAAGAACAAGATTCTGTCACTAAGACAAGGTTTGCAGAAATTGTTCGAACGCACAAATATCGATTAAGGGAAAACTGAAAGTTGCAAATGTTTAATCTCTTTGCCATTGTTTACCTTCACTAAAAAAATAATCCCAAAACCCCTAAATATGGTGAAGGCGCATGACGGATCAAAATACGATGAAGACAATGGTTATAACTCAATTGTTTGTGGGTGCCATTGACCCCAAGGTACATCCAATTTAAACTCAAAAATAATATGGACAGGAAAAGTCGCGGAGTAAAAAATTACCGACAGTAATGCCACTCAAAACCTTACCCAATTGCTAATCATTCGCCTTCTTATTTGATTTTATATCAACCAAAAAACAAACCAAATAAACTTCTGAGTCACGGTAGGTATCATAGTGTGTGGAATATAACAATTGCCATGATTGTAAATCATTGCTAAATGTTAAAGAATAGATATTTGTTACTAGTACCGTTGAGTGAAGGATTAGAATTACTCAATGCCAGTACAATTATACACTATTCATATATCTGGTAAGATTGCAAGGTGGTGTTCTGGCCCAGTTGTTTCCTCAAAGGCAACTTATAAAATGATTAAGAATTAAATTACAGGGCTCACATCTCAGTTGATGAAATCGTATAAGGAAAGTACGCATAATATGCCCTTTCTTTACTATAGATCCCTATAAAATACTGTAGAGAAAACTAAAACAGTACAAAGAACGTTTTCATTTATCTTTCTGAAAGAGACAATCTACTTATTCTAAAAAGGTGACTGCAAAATTTGTAAGACGAACGGCTTACTTTCGTTGCAGTAATTGACTTAATTGTTGTCAAGATTGAGAATTGTTACAAGCTGGGTTTTCTTTTATTTCGTTAGATTACATTATTGGTTTGTAACTATCAAGTTAAAGTGAATGTACATTAGTTAAAAGCAGTTTCAAAATTATTCATTTTTGATTACGCTTGTTACAGAGTATAATCACTATTTTAGGTAATTTTACAATAGAAATTCGCAGAAATATAAACATTTCTCATTGTACTAACCTCTCCATAGAGATAATTAACCACCAATTTACATTTACATTTATCTTGTAATATATCATTTCTATGAACACTATGTCATTATTATATCTTACGCAAGGTTTCACATTGTTTATACTTTGATACATTGTATACCTACTCATTTTTAGGCTATTGATGGTGATTCTGTCCCTTTTGCATCCTAACTCTTTGGCAATACGATCGGTTGTCAATTTGTCATTATCTTACTATTAGTAGCGCCCGTAATAAAAAAAAATTGCTAATTCTAAACAATAATCCCAAAGCATTCTGTTTGAGTAAATCAAAACTTACGGAAACTGGCAATTTAAGATGAAGATCGCCAATATTTGCACATCAACTGTAGCTTATGGTTTTGAGGTTACAAGGCCATCTTGTTTCGTGCTATATCAATGACATTTATAGGAGGTACCTATACAAACAACTAAAAGGTTGTACTTGTACGTGACGAACTAACTTTAATCCAGCGACTGTGACAATGCTCAAGCTCAGACAATGCAAAACAAAAAATTAGAAGAAATGGAGCAAGATAATTTATTTTACTGTGGAACGCAATTTTAAACCAAACCAGAGAGATATATACCAAATTATATGTGCTTGATAATGCCTAATGTGACTGTAAGGAATTTCACATTAATTTTATTGCCAACACTGTTATACGAACTTTCACTATATTACGTCTTTTTGAATATGAAATAAATTAGTACCTTCTCAATCATTAAGTTTATTAACGTATACACTATGTTCATTATCCAATTAAATTTTGGAATTAGTTTAACTTACATAGAAGCTATCTTTGGCACCTTTCAATCGATGTTAAGTTTTTTTTCCATACAAAAACCGATTATAATTGCAAATAATTTCTATTTATTCTGCTTTCAAACATTTATTTAGGCATGAAACCAATGACAAAAGATCACAGCGGTGAATTTATAAATAATTGCACTAAAGGAAAGTAAAGGTCGTTAATTTTTTCTCATAAATTTCTCTACCCATTTAACATTATTATTAAGTAATTTGTCTTGTTAATGTGTTTTATGTTAGCGCACGACTTACTAAACTAGCACGGTGTCATATTTCTACTGCATACGCCACCATTTACCAATCAATAATAGATAATAAAAGTAGAAATGAAGCAAAAAAATTGTTTAGAAATGAGGGCAATGCATTTGTACATGTCAGTGCAAGCGCAACTTCACAGAACGAAAGAAAAACTGCAACAATAAATATTCACGCTTAATTTAAGCGGTAGTAGCTATTAGGAGGGTACCAAATCAAGCAGAACAGTACCGTGGCGTTCGTTTGAATTTCTTGAATAATAGATTATTCTAATTAAAGAAGGTTGTATGGCAATTTTGTCCATGTGATTCATCCAACTTATCCAATTGTTACATTTTAGCGTAAGTTGAAGATCGTACGTAAGAATAACGCCAGTAAGCAGTAGTCCAAATCATAAATTTGACTTCAACGTTGGTTCCAAAAATCAATCTAATCCAATAATCAGCAAAAATAAAATGGCCCAATTAAAAATCCATCCGATTTGAAGAAAAGTACGTTTTACAAATTGATATAATATAGCAATAGTTGGCTTTTAGAAAAGTGCTCGACATCAAATAATAAAATAATTAAAAGGTAGATGAAAACGCACAACACCCGCAAATTAAGTTGATGTTGAACATAGGGATAATTGCATTATATGTTCACTTTAAAGAATAAATAAAATAAATAAATTAAAAAATATAATAACCTTAAGAAATGTATTTACAAAAATGATGGGGTTGGTTGCTCAGAGAGGGCGTTGGGTAGTTGATTTGGCATTGTATATAGGTTGCGATTTAGAAAAATTAATTGAGTCATTGCTACGCCTTTACCTTAAATGAAAATGCAATTTTATCTGAAAGTCAAAAGTGCTTTAAAATTTGAATTTGAATTAATATTAAAATAACATTCATTT